AAAATACACATCAATCATTAAATTATTTTTCTCTCTTTCTAAAAACATTTAATTAACCATTTAATTTATATATAAACACACCAAACATGTTTAAAACCCAACTTCTACACCCTAAAATCAGCTCTTGTAATTATTACTTCTATAATAGTTCATCCCTATCTTTTAATTTCATACTAATGCTACCTAAGGTTAATATTAGAGATGCTATATGTTTGATAATGTAGCCCATAAGCTTTTGCAAAATAACATTTAGGTTGGAGAATGCTTTATTCATATGTAAAAACCAGATATTAATTTAAATTAAAAAAACATTAATTCAAAGCTTTTACTTATAAAATATACTTTAAAAATTATTTTATAAATCTTATGATGTGGAAAGGCCTCCTAATAATTATATACAAATAATAATAAATCAATATATTAAAAAATAATATAAATTATATTTTAGAATCTTCCATAATAATTTAAATTATTAAGTTAAGATAATTTTTTGATATGATATTATAATCTTAATAACCAAGTGGTTACGAGTTCAAATCTCATTATTTTTATTTACTTCATAAAAACTAAGTATATATATTATAAACCTATGCAAGTTTTAAGTATAAAATGTTTTTATCCAAAAGAAATGGTTTTTTTACATATTATGACAATGCTTATAAATCTTATAATGGCATACCATTAATAGTGAAAGATCTACTCAACCATAATTTTAAAAGTTTTCCCCGACGAACATGCCACGTTGCTTAGCCAAGAAAATTAATACGATGTTGTAGGGCAATTTTTAAAACTTATTTTTATTTAATTACGTGGTAATTAAGATAAATACTTGTAGGAATTCTAAAAGTTTAAATTATGGAGAATAAACTTATTCATTGTTCAATAAACACTGTGATTTGTTAGTGTATGCACAGTGTTTTTTATGTACAGAAAGAAAAGGGAGCCATGTTTTAGTTTAGTGTTAGTGTTACAATTTCATGAGAAGCTTAATCACTGTATTAGTTTTTGGTCTTCAGAAAACAATGTGATTTACTTAGCTAATCCATTTCCATTAGAAGCAAAAGATTCTGTATAAATGTTTCTATAAATACATTCTGTATTTTAATTTTTTGTTTTAAAATTGTTTTTTTTTAATAATTTTTTATATTGTTTGAATATGTCGATTTTAAAAATAAAAAAATATTATTTAAATATATTTTGGAAAAACAACAGTATTTTTGCAGAAAAACCAGCTATAAATTAACATCTTTAGCCCGTGACGGTAACAGGCAGCTCCACCCATGACGGTGGAGGGGAGTCCTGCCAATTGTACATGTCGGATCCTTCTTGCCCGTGACGGTGACGGGCAATCCTGGTGGTCATTTCAGTGTGGCCCCCAGGTGAAAACATTTGAAGCCTACGTGCTCTCTTATTCTCTCCTTTATGCAATTCATTGGCTTATGCTTTCTATTACATTTTTTTTTTCCTCTCACGTATTCACGAGTTTTTTTTTTTTGGGTTTCAAGGATAGTAAAAAAAACTTTATCATAACATAGCCTAATGCAAAAAATCTTTAAAAAAGTAGTATATTTTAGAGAATAATGGATGTTATTGTGATCTATGAAAAACACGTTATTTAAAACAAAAAAATAAAAAAAATCTTGAAAATATATTAAAATTTTAAAAATATTAAAAAAATCTAGACAATAAATCCAATAATATAAAAAAATCATTAATAATAACTAGAAAAAATCATATAAGTGAGCTCGAAAACAAGCTTATTTCATCAATTTCATTCACTATTTATAATTTTTTTTTTTAATGTTGTTACACTCGTTTCATTGATAAGTTTTAATATTATAATTAAAGTTTTGTTTTTTAATAATTTGTGAAGAAAGAACATTAAAAAAAAAAAAAATTCTCTCTGCTATCACTGAGACAGGGATGCCTCTCCCGAAGTTCTAGGCCCACAACCCCACTGTGGTCAAATAATCCTCTTACCACCGACATTTAATCAGTTATCAATTTATAAATATACAAAACACTTTAAATACTATTTTTTACACCTTTAATATATGCTCTTGTTATAATTATTACTGTATTAATGCACCCCCTATTTTCTTAACCGTACACCAAATGCCACGTGCTAGAAATGTCATGTATTTAATAATGTTGTCCCCGTATAAATCAAGAATATATTTAGGCTGGAAAAGTTATTTTTTATGATTTAAAAATATATCAAAACTATTCAAAAACATTTGAAAAGAATATTAATTTTATGATTTTCAACTAAAACACATTTTAAAATTAGCTTCAAACACATCACTAGATGCACATTAATAATAATAATAATAATAATTCATTGATGTGATATAGGTTTATATAAATTCAATAATTAAAATATATTGCATAATAAAATTAGGATTAATTTTACTAGTGGCCACTGCATCAGTGGAAAAAATATTTGAATTATATATAAAAAATAATTTCATGAAGTATTTTTTTTATAACATATGTAGATTTTTTAACTTTATATTAGAAACTTATAATTTTTGGATTTTTTAGATATTAATTAATTAATGGAAAATTTGAAGTTAATCATTAAATTATTCTCTCTCTTTTTTCACAAGTATTTAAACATTTAATTTGTAAATACACCAGTCATTTTTAAAAACCAACATTTCACTTTTTAAATTTGCTCTTATAATAATAATTATTATTTATGTGATAATTTCACCCATTTTTTTAGCCTTATACCAAATACGTAATTCTAAGAGCAATACTAAATGGTTTTTTTTTTTTAAAAAAATATTTTTGAACCTAGTAGTTTTGTGTGTTTACATTTTAGCTAAACTTCATTTCCCACACCTTTCAACATTGAGTTTTGGTCCTTGAAATTATCATAAAAGTTCATTTTGGTTCTTAAAATTTTTTATTTTTATTTTTTATCCTTGTAGTTTTAGCTGTTTATATTTAATTTTAAAACTTCATTTTCCTCACATTTTAATTCCTTGATGTTAAGAGTTTAAAGAGAAAGTTGTTATAAAAAAAAAAGGAAAGATAAGTATTTTGGTCAGTGGTATTTCAAAAACAAAAATTATTGATTTTAGTGTTTGTATATTTATCTTTAAAAAGAAATTCAATGAACGTATGTAGTTTTGCCCTTTAACCATGTTGGAAAAGATAAATTGATGTTTATGATTTTTTTTTATGGTAAGGTTCCCAATATTTTGTTTCCATGAATTAATTATTTTATTTTTATTTTTTCTTACAAGCCCATAAAAAATTATCAAGACATAATTTTTTTTCTTTCTTAATGAAACTTTCTTTTCAAATCATGATAGGATTTTATTTTAAAAACATGCTTCTAATTTAAAAGGCATGTTTTCTTCAAAATAAAAAATAAATGAATAAGAAAAAAGGGATTTTGACCAAAGAAATATATATTTTCCTCGTGAATTTAAATGATTAGAATTCTTGAGAATATTGATTTTAATTACTTTAAGTTTTAATTGAAAAAAACGTGCTATTAATAAAAAAAAAAGATATATTTCGTCAAAATAGGAAAAAAAAATAAGAGATGAAGATTTTGAAAAAAAAATATTTTTTAATAAAATTTAAATCATTCAAACTCTTTTAAATATTTATTTTAATTATTATATAATTAAATAAAAATTAATTATAAAAACGGTCGAGCCGCCTTTGTCTCTTTTCTCTATTCTAATATTTAATGCATCCATATTATCGTTAATTTGAATAACTCTTAATTTTCAGCATGCATTTAACACATTTCTATATGCATTTATCTTTTGTTTTTTTATTAGAAAAACCAACTTTTTAATTTTAACATCCATAATAATTTTATCGGTTTAACTGTTTATATATTTTTAACTTTATTGTATTAAACACAAAAATTATCTTTTTATTAATGATTAACAAATTTATTTATACATATCGGTTCCTTAATCGTGGAGCGCTGATTATAATATAATTAATATAATATTGTTATGAAGCCAGCTTCCATGAGTTTTCATGCAATTCAGTGGCTTATTAGCTTTCTACTACCATCATTCTCTCTCACAGAATCACACTCACCCCCTCGCAAAAATCCACCAAGGCTCCTGCTTTCCACTTCTCCTTTTCTCTCACGTATTCCCACCCTCAACCTTTCTGCAAAAATCCACCATGGCTCTGGAGTTGATCGGAGGATCAATTCTCTCTCCTGTCATTCAGGTTGTTTTCGACAGGTTGGCCTCTCGTCAGGTCCTGGGTCTCTTCAAAAGCCACAAACTCGATGATGGCCGTCTTCTGGAAAAGCTGAATGAAACAATGAATACAGTCAACGGACTACTCGACGATGCGGAGGAGAAGCAGATTACAAGTTCTGCTGTGAAGAACTGGCTTAATAATGTTAAACATGCTGTCTTTGAAGCTGAGGACATAGCGGAGGAGATTATGAATGTCTACGATCCTTGATGCCCCTCGACCTGACAGCAATTGGGTAAGCATAAGTTTTTGCACCTTTAGACCTTGCTTCCTCATAAAATATTTGTATTGATCCCTCTATTTGATTTTTAAATCCAAAATGCTGTATTTTTAAAATCTGAATTATTTATATAAATTTTGTCCACCTTTATTTATTTAAATATTAAAAATAAATACTTTACTTTTTAATTGCTAAACAATTATCTTTTAAAATAAAGTTATTTTTCCATTTTTATTTTAGAAAAAAAAATAATTTCATTATATATAAAAATAATATGATATAATAAGGGCTATGAAAATCATTAGTGGCATTTAATCAATATCTTTTTAAAACTTAAGTTTTACTGCTTAATTACATTAAATTAGCATCAACAATCGTAAATTCTTGAAAAAGTAGAAAGAAAATGTTTACATTATGTTAGCATCAACAATTTAATTGCATTAACTTATTAATTCACTAGATGTAAAATCTTAATGTTGATGTTTTGATATTATAAAATTATGTATATGGAAGGGAAGCTGATAAGGAAGCTATAATGGAGTACTTGTTGACAAGAAACAATACAAATGGCGCAAATGTAGGTGTGATTCCTATTGTGGGCATGGGAGGGGTTGGTAAAACCACTCTTGCTCAGCTTATCTACAAAGACAGAAGGGTAGATGAGTGCTTCGAGCTCAAAGCCTGGGTCTGGGCTTCTCAACAATTTGACGTCACCAGGATAGTTGATGATGTTCTTAAGAAGATCAACGCAGGTACTTGCGGCACCAAAGAACCAGATGAATCTCTAATGGAGGCATTGAAAGGGAAAAAACTTCTACTTGTTCTAGATGATGCGTGGAACATTGAGAACACTGAATGGGTTAAATTACTGCTGCCTTTTTGCAGTATGCGGAGCCTGGAAGTAAGATTGTCGTGACAACACGGAATGAAGATGTAGCAAAAGGCACGCAAACTGTCATCCCCTCTCACTATTTGAAGGGAATATGCGATGAAGATTGCTGGCAGATGTTTGCAAGGCATGCATTTAGCGGTGCAAGTTCTGGAGCAGTCTCGCACTTGGAAACATTTGGCAGAGAAATAGCGAGAAAGTGCAAAGGTTTACCGCTGGCAGCGAAAACTCTTGGGGGTCTTTTGCACTCTGTAGGAGATGTCAAGCAATGGGAGCAGATATCCAAGAGCAGGATGTGGGGTTTATCGAATGAAAACATCCCTCCAGCACTAACAATGAGCTATTATTATCTCCCTTCACACCTGAAAACGTTGTTTTGCTTATTGTGCAATATTTCCCAGGGATTATGTATTTGAGAAGAATCGAGTAATCACTTCATGGATGGCACAAGGTTTTCTAGTCCAGTCCAGGGGCGATGAGGAGATGGAAGAAATAGGTGACAAATACTTCAATGACCTTGTCTCCAGGTCATTGTTTCAGCAATCACTTTACGCCCCATCATATTTCAGCATGCACGACCTCACAAGTGATCTAGCTGAATACATGTCAGGAGAATTCTGCTTTAAGTTTGTTATGGATGGAGAATCAAGCTCTGGGTTGGAGGGTGAAAATTCAGGCAGGCTTCCAGAAAGGACTCGTCATTTATCAATCACTTCAACACTATATGATGGGGTCTCTAAGATATTTCCTCGCATTCATGGAGTCCAACATTTGCGCACCTTGTCTCCACTAACATACGTGGGGGGGATTGATAGTGAGGTGCTGAATGACATGTTGACAAATCTTAAGCGCTTGCGAACGCTATCTTTATATCGGTGGAGCTATAAATCTTCTCAGTTGCCCAATTCCGTTGGCGACTTGAAACATTTGCGGCACTTGGACCTTTCTCAGACATTAATTAAACGGTTGCCGGAAAGTGTGAGCACCTTGTACTATTTGCAAACTCTATTGTTAAGAGAGTGTCGACATCTCATGGAGTTGCCATCCAACATTTCCAACTTGGTCAACTTACAACATCTTGATATTGAAGGGACAAATTTGAAAGAGATGCCACCAAAAATGGGGAAACTCACGAAGCTTCGAACTTTGCAATATTACGTTGTGGGAAAAGAGAGCGGGCCTAGCATGAAAGAGTTGGGGAAGCTCTCAAATATAAGGAAAAAACTTTCTCTTCGGAATCTCAGAGATGTTGCAAATGCTCAAGATGCTTTGGATGCCAATTTGAAGGGTAAGAAGAAGATTGAGGAGTTGGGGTTGATGTGGGATGGCAATACGGATAACACACAACACGAGAGAGAAGTACTTGAGAGATTGGAGCCTTCTGAAAATGTGAAACAGCTTGTCATTACTGGTTATGGGGGTACGATGTTTCCAGGTTGGTTTGGAAACTCTTCTTTCTCAAATATGGTAGCGTTGACACTTTCTGGATGTAAGAACTGCATCTCCTTACCACCACTGGGGCAGCTGCCATCTCTAGAAGAGCTCCGAATTAAAGG